CCCCCACCCCCCAACCAGCTGTCCTGCCGCAACATCCTTTGCCCAATCAGCCTCACTTTTGCCAACCTGAGAGTCTGGGCAGACTGGACCCAGAATGAGTCCTTGGACCCCACTTCTCCATCCATACCCGTCCTAGGGCCCCTCGTCCAGCACCAGAGCTCTAAACATCTTTAAGATGATCTGAATTTACATCTTCTACCCTAAACTCTCCTCTGACTGCCAGACTCCTACCTACCCACCTGCTCAATATCCCCCCACGAAGGTCTGCCAAGCATCTCCATCCCAACACATCCAGACACACCCTCTTCTGTCCTCCCGGCTACTCCTCCCCTCTGCTCTCAGTAGCCTGAGCTCAGGCCCAGAAACACCTTTCCTTTTGCAGCTGTGCTCATTCCCTCTGTGCACTCATCCAGTCTCCTGGCTCCCACCACCATTCACGGGCTGAGACCTCCAAACCCCCATCTCCAGACCTCTCCCCTGACCCTTGCCACCTGCGAAACATCTCGACCTGTAATCTGTAATCGGAGAGGCATCTCAATTTAAAAAAGTTCCAAACTGAATTCCTGCTCCCTCCCTGTCCCCATCTCGCCAACCCTATTCTCATAGATGACCCCACCTCAGTTGCTGGCAAACCGATCCTGCCCGTCGCTCGGGTCCCCTCATCTTTTACACGGTTCTCCCTCAAAGCCCAGATCTAATCCATCAGCACCCCTTGGAGGCTCTACCTTCAAAACCACTGCCCACAACCTTTAATACCACCACCTGGTCAAACCAAGGCTCTCTCCCCTCAATTATTTGCAACGGGCTCCCAACGGTCACCCTGCTTTCACCTTTGCCCCGTGATGGCCCATTCTCAACACTGCGCCCTGTGGTCCCATTAACAAGTCAGCCATGCTGGCCCTTGGTTCAGAAGCCCCTCACGGTCCCTCAAAATCCTCCTTGCCTACAGTCTCCTAGAGTGTGGACCCTGACCACCTTCTTGGCCTTATTTCCTCTTCTTATCTATTGCATGCTGGTCACACGGAACTTCTTTCTTTCCTCAAAGCAGTGCCCGGCCACAGGGCCTTTGTACTTCCTGTTCTCTCTTCACCATTTGGCTCTTCGCTCAAATGGAAGTGTGGCTTGCTCCTTCGTTCCAGTCAGGTCTCTGCTCAGACGTCTCCTTTCTGACCATCTCTATTTTTCTGCTTAGCCCTTAACATCTTACAGAACCTCACTGTGCGTGTTTATTTCTGCCTCCCCAGGCGATATCCCACCCCCTGCCAGTATCTCCAAGGAAAGTAAGCGCCGTGAGAGCAAGGCCTTAGTCCCACTGTGTTCACTGCGGCCTCCCCGGAACATGCCTGGCACACAGTAGGTACACCCACCAGTGTCTGGGGAATGAGTTAACCCACTAAGGAAGCAAATCAGTAATGAAAACGGTTTATAACACTAGGCCCATGCTGTGAGGCGGGTACAACACCCCATCAAGTAAGTAGAACATAAACTCCAAGAAAACGGAAACCTTTCTGTACTTTTCTTACCTGGATACTCTCTGAATTCCAGAACCCAGCCAGAAAGCACCCCCCCACCCCCACCCTTCCACATCCATTCCACAAATAGGCAAATAACTCCACCCTGAAGACGGAACCACAGCCAGGAGTCCTTATATCAAACAGCGGTTAGTAGAAACGACAGAAAGGAAAAAGGAGTTACAAGCTCGTGCCGTACACACACTCTAACGCTCTCTTCACCTTCCCCAACAATCCCTGCGGATTAACGAGCTCACACAGGCCTAAGGGCATTCATTCAACAGTCTTCCACAGAAGCCAGAGATTTGCTCCAACGGAACATACTCTGCCTTCCCAGGGAGAGGAATAATCATCAACAGAATGGAAAATGAGGATTCTGATCCAGCAGTGCTGGAGAGAGCCCCCAAGAAGACTGCTTGCCCAGCGATTCCAGTCTACAGCCAGGTCCCGGAGCCACATAACCCAATGACCTTCACAAGACCCTGCAGTTCAAACCACATATCCTACTATTCTAAACAGGAAAACTGTTAAGACTTCACATCACCGTGCATTTAGAAGACTTTGTCTTCTTCAAGCCTGCTAGTGTCTGCACGGACTTACTTGGAGGGGTGGAAGTGAACGTGCTGCTGAAAAGTGTTTCGTTCAAAGAACAAGGTTAAGGAGGAGGAGGAACCGTTAAAAGTCCGCGACAGTATCTCCATCTGGACGACACTGGTGAGACGTGGAGACCGTCAGGCCCAACCACAGACCTAACAAATCACATCCAGCATTTTCCCATCCCCAGACGACTATGTGCGCAGGTCTAGATCACCGGTTCTCCGTGAAACATCAAGAATCAGCTGGGAAACCTGACAAACTACAGACACCTGAATCCTAGGCCAAGCACTTCTGATTCATGAGCTGGGTCTATATTTTCAACAAAGGCTCTCAGAAATCCCGACAAAGGTGGTCCAAGGTCTGTGGTTTCAGAAGCACGCACCAAGGAAGACATCTTCGAGGAAGTTTTCATTTATTCCTCCAAAGTAGCCCAGGTCAACCAACGACTGTTTTCTATTGAAAGCTATCGCGCCAGTTCGTCGTCTGGCCCCCACCCCCCTCTAGAACGTGAGCTTCCCGACGGCAAAAGCCCTCCCTATGTTTTCTTACCCAGGTGCTGGCCGATAGGAGAACCCCCCTCAGAAGGCACCCCCACCCCAACGCCACTCAATAACCCCACGCACTCCAGGAGTGTAACAACCCCCCAAGCGGCATTTCACAGGGCGCCCCACTACCCAGGCGCAGATGGGAGGGCGCTGCGAAAGCACCGGGCACAGAGGAGAGGAGCTGGGAGGATGCAGGGGGACAGGAAGAGGAGGACAAGGGAGGACGAAGGTGGAGACCCAGGGACGCCTGACCTCGACTCTTTCTCCGCCGCCCGCTCAAAGGCCACCCGGGCCCGCCGCCCTCGCCCGTCCGCCTCACAGAGCAGTCCCAGGGTCTACAAACCCGTTGGCTCCCGTCTCCGACCCAAAGGCCGCCGACTCCGACCCAAAGGCCGCCGACTCCTGCCGAGAGCTCAGCCGTTACGATTCAAAGTCTTTATTTTAAATAGGAGTTAAACCCTCTAATCCGAAAGCTCATTGGCCCGGGCTAGAGAGGCACTGCCTTTTGATTGGTTCACAGCCCCTCACGGCTTGAGGCACGTCCAAGGCGGTGACAGCACGCAGGCGCACTTGCCCCGTAAGGCCCCGGAAGTGGTGGAGCCAACGGCCCGCCGGACTTTGGCCGTTCTAGTGCCTGCGGTGTCCTCCGGGACCCGACATTTGTCAGCGAGACAGCATTTCCTTGGCGTCAGTCAGCGTTGTCGCGCAAGAGATAAAGTCGGAGGAGGTTAACGAACCCCTCGAACGCGCCAGTAAGTAAGATGGCGAGAAGGGCAGGAGAGAGTGGGGCCGATCGATAGCGCAGCGCTCGGCGCCTCGCCCTGTGCGCGTGCGCAGTGAACGTGCGCTCGGAGCGATCGATCGGACAGATTGCGTGCCTCCATTTTTCTGGGAGAGAGCGGGAGACCGAGAGAGCCGGACTAGCGGGTACTGGGGGGCTGGGATGCATGGAGAGCGGCTGGTGCGGTCCGCTGGGGTCTTCACGGGACCCCCGGAAAGACCAGCGCGGCGGGAAGGCCCGATAGTGAGCGGGGTGGCATGCCCCCTGAGTTGCCAGGCTCGGCCTGCACACCCCTTCCTCTTCCTCCAAGGCCTCGCTCCCACCCCCACTCCATCCTTGGTGCTCTTCTGTGGCGGGACGGTGGCGGAGCCTAGTGAGGGGGCGTCTGTGTTCTCGCCCTGGTCCCCCCTTCCAGTTCCCGGGTGTAAACAGTTTCTAGGTCCTGTTCTTCCTGACCTCGGGCCTCGCCTGCAAACTGGGGATGGTAATTAGGCACCTACTAGCGCAGGGAGCGAACGTTCTGTGAGAGTTGAGAAGCGGGGCTCGGCCTTTTCTTTTTGAATCTTTGTACACGCCGTGATGCTCCTGGCATGAGTGCAGAGACGGGATAGAATAGTGGTTAAGTTCTGGGCTCTGGTCTGGGCAGTCCTGGCGGCCACTTGACGAGTTACTCGGCCACATTTTATTTTCAGTTTCCTAACTTCTTTGTGCCGATTTCATCATCTCTATCGTGCCCTAGTGCTGTCTGCACAAGCATAGATTTATATGCATTTGCTTCTACATGTGCTTGAATACTTTTAATGATTTCATTCAATGACCTAATGCTTGTAAAGTGCTTAGCACAGTGTCTGGCAAGTGCTTACAAACGTTAGCTGTTGTTAGTAACACCCATCAGTGCAGCACGGTGAGGACTCAAGCTCTGGGGTCAAATACCCTGAGTAAAGATCCAGGCTTTGCTGTTTACAAGCTCTTTGATCCCATGTAAGTTAACCTCTCTGGCCCTCATGTTACCTATCTCTAAAATAGGATTAGATGAGTATTCAGTGAGGTAATGCATATTAGTTGCTTATGTGATGGGTGTCATACACTACACTGAATGTCTAATTTTAGCTAGTTTGTCATTAAGCTTTTTTTTTTTTTTTTAATTTTTTTTTTTTAACATTTATTTATTTTTGAGACAGAGAGAGACATAGCATGAACGGGGGAGGGCCAGAGAGAGAGGGAGACACAGAATCTGAAGCAGGCTCCAGGCTCTGAGCTGTCAGCACAGAGCCTGATGCGGGGCTCAAACTCATGGACCGTGAGATCGTGACCTGAGCGAAGTCGGACGCTCAACCGACTGAGCCACCCAGGCGCCCCAAGTTTGTCATTAAGCTTTTAAGGAGCACTAAAGGTAGTCGTTAGGAACAACACAGTCTCTAGAGTCAAACCATCTGCATTCTAGTCCAGGTTTCTGCAAGCACTAGTCGTGGGACCTTGAACAAGTTACTTTCCCTCCTCATCTTTAACACGATCACAGGGCTTCTCTTACAGGATGGTGTTGAGGATTAAGTGAGATAAAACATAACGCTCAGTAAATGTTAACTATTCTCATTATCAGTAGCTTCAGTTATTCTCCGGAGGGAGTTAGAAAACATGGTTTCCCACTTCTTTCCTATAACACACCCCTCCTTCCAGAATCAGTCCCTGTAAAGTACAGGAATACCAGGCAGTGCTGGTGTTACTGCTTACTCCTCTCCTTTTTTGTATTCATCCCCCCACCCTGTCTCTGTCTCTCTCTCTCTCTCTCTCTCTCTCTCTCTCTCTCTCATACTCTGACTTCCAATTTCTTGTCTGCCTTCGACTTCTGTTCTTTATTGCTGTTCCCAGGCTCCCGTGCCCTTCTGATAGCTGTCCAGACATACATACACATACGAATATTGATTTTTGAAAGTCAAAGTTATCTGCTGTCCACCAGTTGGAGGTTTTGTTGTTTCTTAACCATCATCTACAGTTTTCATTTTACTTTATAAGAGAGAGCTTAAAAACTTGGAAACCAATCCAAGTGCCCTTTTTTTCCTTTTTTTTTTTTTTTTAAAGTTTATTTATTTTGAGAGAGAGTGAGCAGGGAGAGGCAGAGAGAGGGAGGAGAGAGAATCCCAAGCAGGCTCTGCAGTGTCAGCGCAGAGCCTGATGCAGGACTGAAACTCACAAACCCTGAAACCATGCCCTGAGCTGAAATCGAGAGTCGGTTGCTTAACTGACTGAGCTACCCAGGCACCCCTTTCCGTTTTTTATACTCGTTTTGGCCATACCCTATTTGCCAATATTTTATTAAGCAATTTGTTTTTGAATCTTTCCAAGCATTCAACTTGATTTAGTTTTCATAGCGTGGTGGCTTGTTTGCCGTCATGTTTTTATTTACTATATAATTAAGTTATATAATTTAACAAAGTTGGTTACCTTAAAACATGTTTTTTTTTTAAATTTTTTTTTAAATGTTTATTTATTTTTGAGACAGAGAGAGACAGAGCATGAACAGGGGAGGGGCAGAGAGAGAG